CTGCTCCAGTTATGTACCATCCACATGGTTCGATTCCACTACGGCTTTGCGAGCGTTGAAGCCATAATCCTACAGCTTATATATAAGAGAAGTGATCAATGAACGGAAAATAATGTTCGTTGTAAGCGCGATCGGCGGCAACACTAGATGCATCGTTAAAGCAGTCCCAAGTAGTGTTCAGTGCGCCGTGAATATCCTCGGTCCCCCCCACTGAAGCTAGACCTTCAGTGCTTGCCAGGAATTGCCCGTCATGAATTGAAGAAAAACATAAGCCGACCGGGGATCGTGCCGCGTCAATTCACCCCTGAAACGGCAATTCACCCCTGAAACGGCAATTTCCGAGTGTGTTCAAGGTTCAAACTCGCATCCTCGGGATTTTAATCACTGATACTGACATATGATTGAAATCTAACTTGACGTGGCACCGGCGCGACAAACCTCCATTCAAGGGATATGTTTAGTATCCCAAAAACATTGGTAAATACATTATTGACTGATTAAAGTCGATTAGGCAAGATCACAGTGGAGAAACAAGTCATCGGAGTCCACTTTGTATCAAAGTCGATCAGAAAGGAAAAAAATTGACATGGTTTGAGCTCAAAAAAGGCATCCCACCCCTCAGAGGTTGGTTGAGAGTAAGGCTGTCGTGTTTGACCATGCACAAGTTGGAATTCCAATACTCCACGTCAGCTTAACGTGCTATTTCAATACTCTTTTAAATATTGTGTTTTTCCTTGTTCACTTTGAGACTGGATCGTATATTGTATTTATCAATATTCAAGGACATTCCATTATTCGTCCTTCTAGCCAACTTGCATAATATTTTTTCTGATCTACGCCGGCCCGCAGAGGAAGGAGCTGTACTGATCATTGTATTGTACCGCGTTATGTGTTCCGGCGTGGTACTGGGTGATTTTGCCAGTGCAACCGAAGTCACTGGAGCGCCACCATTACTGGTTACAGACATCACTCACGTGAATGAATTGCATGAAAACGCGGAGTAGACCTGGATAGAGCTAACAACATCGTTCCAGAAAGAGTCTGCGCCACTGAAGCTGACTACAAATGGAAAAGACCATTTCAATAGTGAGACCAGAAGCTACCCAGTGGAATACATACGACAGTCGAAGATGTTATAGGCTGCGAACGGGGTGCAGGTGCCGCCCATGTTCGCGTTGAAGCACATTTTGCCGAAATTGGTCGCGGAGACCTGCTGATGCAAATGCTACAAGAGACGAAAAGTTCAAGGCGAGTTTCATACGTTGGGTTGAGATCTCGAAAAGCCGGGGATATTAGCCCTCCCGTCCAACTGGATGGGAGTGCAGATGAACATGGGATGATGCCACCCATTTTATGGACATTGACTCAAGCACCTACAGATCGTCATCACAGCCATGTCCGATGTGCATTGGAATATCCATTCAAGATCAAATTGTGTCTTGTATGAGTGATGCCGACACGTCTTTGGCGAAATGTTAGCCGATGAAGTTAAAAACACACACGCTACACCTCGCAAAAGTACTAGCATCCGGCTGAAATCAGTGATCTATCACAATAAAATCTTTCACTGCGTTCCGGCCCCCCGTAGACCTATGTTCGGTTACGTGCGTCTACCTCGGGTTGACGTACTCCGGCTACCTCTGTCTACGCCTGTAGACACGCCTTGAACTATGTAATTCAATCGCCATATATATATCTACTACATGCACACCCCCGCACCCCGGCGCTGCGTCGCCAGTGGTCCTGCGCTGGGGAATTGGAATCGGCATGACTCAAGGAGGCACTGGCGGCGCTCGTGTCCGGTCGTCGGTGGCGGGCTTGCGCTGCATTGGTGGTGGGGGCGCGCCAAGGGCGGTCGTCGTCGGCGGCGTACGAGTGCCGCGGATAGTCGTCTTGCGCTGGTCGCATGTCATTGTGTCGTGTAATTGCCGCCGTAGGCAGAATTCCCCAACACACCATACTACTAGGCTGAAGGGGATTTGAGTTAGTGCAAGACGGGAGTTTAGACGCGCATAGACGGGAGTGAGTCAGGATGCTCACCGAAAGACACTCGATAACTGTTCGACACGATTAGACTCCCTCATTCCACGGGGATCTGACCTGTAGCGTCGAGAGTGCTTAAAATAGGTGCATATATGCATCATACACGGGTAGGAAATCACCGTGAGATACGTGCCATTGAAGGGAGTAGCGCACATTGAATCGAATCGTGTAAGTAGGAGGTATGGTTCCCATCGTGATCATCTGAAAAAGAATTAACTCCCGGGTTCATTTGACACGTACCGACGATCAGAGGACGAGGACCGCTGGAGTCTGCCGGGCCTGCGTCAAAGTCATGACGGACAAGTAGGCTCGCGTACGTACGTACCATTGAGCGCACGCCCGCTCCTCGTGCTGAGCGATGGCGGGCGGGGGAACTCCACCTTGAGGTAACGCGTGCACGGAAATGCTCATTTCGTCGTCCCGCGAGCGAATGGATGAGGTGTGGATCGGGGCGCTGGATGTCGCATGATTAACAAGGAGGCGCCCTGCGCAAGGCTGAGACGGCGTCCTGCAAGAGCACAAGCCAGAGCCAGAGCCAGATCCACGAGGGGCGTTAAAACTAAATGGATGTATACAGATTCGCAGCCGTTTCACTCACTCGTTTCGGGCGCGCTCCACCGGCGTGGAGGGGGTGGCGGCGGGAGCGGGCTCGAGAGGAGGAGAAGGTGCAGAGCCGCGGATCGTGCATCATCGGCTCAAGGGCGAGAGCGGGTGCACGGGGGAGAGTACCGGCGGCACGGCACGGGACGAGGACAAGGATATGCGCGGAATGCGCGGTCGCAGCGGAGGGGAGAGGGAGGGCTAGCGCCCGAGGATAAGGGGGCCTTGTTGCGGCGTTGGCGCAGGCACGGCAGGATGGGCGGCGGAGGAGTGCGTGCGCTAGTGAGAGTGGCGGATGCATCTGCGGGAGTGGTGGGACGGCTCAAGCGGAGGTAGATAGCGAGAGAGGAGTACTAGTGACGTGGAGAGCGCGAACGGAGCACGAGATAGCGGGGCGAGGCGGAGGCAGGAGGAGTTGGGGGCGAGCGCGGATGAAGGCCGGCGCTCGAGGCAGAGTGCATCAGCGAAGGAGGAAGGAAGCGATGCTGAGGCCAAGCAGGATCCGTTGGAGGCGTCGAGGGAGGGCGGCTCGCAAGTGCGGGGCGAATGCCTAGAGAGAGGTGAATGCGTAGGGAGAGGCGAGGGCGAGGTTGGGCATGGCCACGGCGGAGAACTGGCTTGATTGGGCAGGGGAAGGCAGATGATCGACAGCACCGTACTTGAGAGCAAAGGAGGCGCGGACGAAATTAAGCTGCAGCACATGATCAGTGAGCACGGACGAGGTCCACGCACTCGCCGACGCCAACGACGACGCTTGACGAGGATGTCGCGAGTCGCGCCAACAATGCCCCTGAGCAAAGGACCAGAAATTGCACCAAGTCCGCGATTTGGTTAATGGAATATGTTCCATTAACCGTTTGATGGCGCATCAATGCCTCGGAGCGCTCTCAAACCGGCCGTGGAGTGGGGTTATGCGAGCCTCCTGACGCTCCTGCCACCAACGCAGAAGACAGACGGCGGGCGAGAATATGGCAACCGCGGTGAGGAAAAGGACGACGTGACTGGGCATGGCCGGATTGTATGCGCTGAGAGCTCGTAGCTTAGAAGTTGGAAGCGCTGACAGGATTGGGCGTAGCTGACCAAAGATTCAACGCGCACGATGGGCGGCGCGAAGTTGGCCGCCACGAGATCGATTCGTTGTGGTTGGAGAGGAAACAAGGGTAAAGTGCGGCGCGACTCGTCCAGGAGAACAACTGGGTTCCTAACGCCGTCGTGGAGGTCGAGGAGAGGAGACGTTGCGGATGGCCGGGACCGAAAACCGAGCCACGTGGCAATGCCGAGTGATCCGTGGTCTCCGACTCTTTACCTCTCGGCTCGTTGGCTTGCTCCTCCTTCTCAGCACTCAAGCTTCGCTCTGCTTCACGCTCTTCTACCCCCGGATGCACCAAAATCTTGAATCTAAAACGGCTCACGCTGAGTCACGCAGTTTCTGCGATCGTCGTGGCGTTGGTGCTCGCTCTCCAAGTCTCACGCAAGCGCAAGGAGATCCAAGTGGCTCGCAATTGCCTGTTCCAGCACATCCACGAGATCTGCGCTTCATCTCTCTCTCCCCCTCGTACGGCCTGGTTTCTCTCCCCTCGAAACGCTTGCGGCAACTTAAAGAGATCGCAGCTTATTTGGCCTGTCCTGCCATCTGTCTGGCTCGGGACTATCTAGGTCTACGAGGAGCCAACTCCTCTAAAGCTCCTGCCCCCTCAGCGCTCATGAGCGACGTTCCTTCCGTTGTGCGCGCCGCTCTCCACGAGTGAAGGGACCGCCAGCTAGATTCGTTACTTCTGCAGCCGATGGACGCTACCATCATGCCGAACAGCCATCAACTGAGTCGACGACGTCCTCCATTATTTAACCAGGATAGCGTGTGGGACGCACCTGCCATCAATACGTACAGCTGGGTAAAGCGAATGGCTTCAGCAGGGCACCCGTTCACCTCGGGATCCAGGCGTACGAGAGTACTAAATGTTTGTCTTTTTCGCTGGGAAAGACGGACCTTGCTCGCAGGTTTCGCGGCCACGCCGCCGTATCTCATGGAGATTTACTCTGGCTCTTGGTTCGTCGTTTTTAAGCTACACCCTCCCCATCTCAACCAGCTACCCACGTCCATCTCCACAGTAAACATGTCCACTTGCGCATGCGCACCTGCATTGATTATTGAGCGAAACAAGAGATTTTTGTTCGAGAGCATAGTAGGCCGGTACCAATTTCTTTCTTTGCGGCTTCTCGGGCCTCGGGCTCGACACTTCGGGCAAGTGGGCAAGTGGAATGACATTTTTTGCTTTTCATTTGGTCCAGATATACTACCTTCTTCTCTTTGGGCTTCTGCTCAACCTATTCACACTCCACTTCACAGGAGGTAGGAAGGTCCAATTGCGGAGTGGCCCGCACCTGCATCTTATATTCAGTAGTGCCTCCCAGGCATGCAGGGGACGCCAGTTCGATTCGGGCTTGGACCATTCGCTACAATGATCAGTTTGTTTACGTCGCGGCTGCGGAATCCACTCGGGAGGGCCATTGTTCGCATTCCCGATTCTAATCAACCGCACTCGCAGGTTCTCACCCCGGAATTGTATGCCCGACACAGATCTAGCCTCGCTCAGGGTCCGTCATCGACTCGGGCGTCGACCGTGGCGCGCGAGACACCCTTCGTCCTCGAATGAATAAACCACCCGGGAGACTCTTGCTTTCCGCTCGAAGATCCGACGGATACCCCCCGGGATCTGACAATCCGTACCGCGCAGAAAAAGATCTATTCCGCGATGTCGTGCATTTATTCAGCCCGGATAGCGTGTGGTGCGCAGCTGCCTTCGATAGCTGAGAGAATGGTACAGGGTATTCAGCAGGGCGCCCGTTCGAGACTCAGGCTCCGGGGATTGACGGCTAGCTTCGGTTTTCACCTCCTCAGTCTGGTCTACGTCCTACTAGGATTTCTCGGCGCATTAGGTTCAGCCCATTGAAATACCGGGCTCCTTTGATCGATTTATTCGCAATGCACAATGGATTCCTCGTGAATTCTGAATCCCTAACCCTGTACATGGGAGAGTCGGGCACTCCATTGATGTCAAAGCGCGCATCTCGGGGCAGCGCCCCCAATGCGACGAGACTCGCCGCTCGTGGTGCCGAACGGCAATCAAACGGCAATGTCCGATCGTCACATCATCATCAGTCACACACCCGGCTCAGCCAGCGACGACGATGACTGAAGGACTTTCCGTATCTCCCACCCTCCCATTAGAACTGGAGAGGAAAATATTCGAACTTGCAGCTCTCTCCCGCCCCGTGTGCATCCCAAACCTCATGCGCGTGGCCTGGCGTGTGCAGCATTGGTGACGAAACCCGCGCGATCTACGCTCGCTAGCTCATAACTGATTCCAGGGTCGAGCCTCTGCTCTATCGCACCCTCGTCGTCGGCACAACGGATATGATCGACGGAATCCTCCCCCGCACCTTCGAACGATTCACCCACATTGCAAATACCAAATCAGCGTCCTTCCTACAGGCCTCGGTCCGCAATCTGATGATCGTCAACATCCCAGTGAAACAAAGAAGAACGGTTCTTTCAGCTTGTACCGGGGTCGACAATCTGTGGATCGCATACGATTCTGAGCCGAGCGACTATTATACCGCAGTCCTGTCCATGGCGCCATCTCTATTGCGATTTTAAAAGTCTCGGACTCGAGTCATTCACTCACCCCTCTTTCTCTCATCTCACGCACTTGGAGCTGCTCAATGGACTGGCACACGACGACGAGGACGACGACGACCCCGCGCCCTGGGTCGACCTCACCCGCCTCGCGCACCTCACCCACCTCTCGGTCGACGCATTCACGGTTCTGGCAGTCTGTCCGTACCTCCTTGACGCATGTAAATGTCTGCGCGCGCTGATTGTTTTGGGGTCCCGCCCGCGATCCTTGTCCGCAAAATTGGAAGTCCTGGCCACAGATCCGCGTTCCGTGGGGATGTCGCTTGATGCGTACCGCCGAGATTGGCAGAGGGGCGTCCTTCACGGGGTGGACTACTGGGCGTGTGCGGATGTGTTCATCGCCAAGAGGATATCTGGCGAAGTCGATCGTGAGCGGACACAGAATAGTATATTTTTAACGATTCTGATTGTGTGATCCTCCTTCAGGGGATATGTTCTGGTTATCGGACGAAGACGGCGTCTAAATTAAGACGTGCGATTTATCTACCATTCGTTGCATAGCCGTTGTGTAGGGGAACCACAGATACCAGTAGTCGAGCGAAGGGCGTCGAACTCATCAGAAGGCGGAGAAGATCGACATAGGTTGTTAGGACTTCCAATGCGTCATCACCCCGAGGAATATGCCAGAGGAAGTACTCTAGCCGCGGCCAGTCAAGCAAGCGCGAATTGTAGCATAACCGCGTAGATATTGGTAGACGTTAACAGAAGAATCATATTGCATCACATATGTCGGGTACACAACTACGTATGTCACACGGGGTCGGTAATAGAGGTAAAAGTTACATCGTCGTCGTGAACGGACAGAGTTTCATGTCAAAGGATAGCTTCAGTTCTCGATGATGGTGATGAACTCAGCGGGGAAGAAGTGAAAGTCTTCGGCGCTCGTGAGATGCTCGAGGGCATCAGCTAGAAGCTTGCGGTAACCCGCATCGGTGAGTGTCTGAAACATGCCAGCTCAGTATTGTATTGTATCTGAAGATGATGAAATTCCGAGGTACCTTGCGCAGCTTCTCATGGGACTCCGCTTCAGCCAGAACCATCACGGAAAGATCCGTCTCGTGCAGGCCGAGCGCGCTGGCTAATGTACCGGCCCCAGTCTCAGCTTTGAATGACTGCATGCCGGTGAGCCAATGAAAATGTGAATCTGGGACAAATAATGGACCGCACCACTTCGTATTTGAGGAGATTTTGCTGCATTATGGGCAGCGCTTTCACGGTCTGAACCATTTTGGAGGTGCTTTCCTGCAGCTCAGCGGGTGTAATGCCCGCTCGGGCTTTGAAGATTCCGATGGCGCGGACGCGGTCTGTTCGGACGGACATGGCTGAATAAGAAGTGTGGAGAGTAGTGGAAATGAGGGATCGATGTTGAAAGCTGAGGGACGCACTCGTGAATATTTATACGGCCCAAGAGGCGCGGAATCAGCATCCATATCCATGGTGATGGCTACAAATTTAGCAGCGGATTTACCAGTGGGGGCATAGGGACATAGCGTGGAGCTTCATGTCAGATATGCATCAGCATACAGATCCGAAACATATGCGCTGCGAATCATGCAACAGCCGAGCGACAGTAAGGCTTCCTAAGACCCCAATATGGTTAATGGTGCCGTAGCGAGCGATTTTAGCAGATTCCGCAGTCCTACAATCCCGTATATTCGAGGCATATGTCAGTAGATTGACCTCATTGTGTTCAAATAGTCACCTAACACTGGTACCCACCGGAATTGCCGAATCGTCTCCCGCAAGTTGACGATTCGGGGGATAGGGTGACATCCCGCCTATTTCTACGCTGAGACTTGTAGGAAGGGAAGGAGAGTGGATTTAGAGCAGAGGATATGAGATGGTCTTTGGTACTAAGAATTTCTCAAACGAGTCTAGTTCTCGAATCTCGTTCAGTATGATGACAGGCGCGGACCACGCGCTATCCGGGCTGACTCCACACAGGATGTCGGCGAGTCAGTCTTATTCCCTTCGGTGCGGTGGTTGCAGGCGGCGCGGAGTATGATATGGGAGTGGATTATAAGATAGGAAATGCCGCAAAGAACGAATCCATTCGTGTTTATTCACTCGCAGACGAAGACGCAGGAATCGGTCGTGCGGATACAGAAAGGAGAAAACTGTGGTGTTGTCCGCCACGGTCCAAGCTCGACTCGAAGGGGCGTCTCCGGCAGATGAACAATTGAGCATTATAATGAGATGCGGGTGCGGCTAGGAGGTAGGTGTAGCTTACAAGTTACGCACCAAAACGGGAGATATCGGTGGCGAGTAAAAGTCCGGGGGTGGGATCCTGCTGGCGCGGTTAGCAAGACCATATAAATGCAAGTCAAGCCCACCCACCTCGTCGCGCGGGATCTCCCGAATGAACCTGCACACATGAGGAGGGGGAAAAGACGTGCGACTCGGCATCCGGCATACACAGACCTCGGTCACCCCATTTGTTCATTAATCCACGGGTCAGACCGAGAGACGAAGTGACACAGAACATGAGCAGGTGGCCGCAGAGGGGAGGAGATATTCCGATTGAGTCAATTATGATTAGTGTCATGCTGCTCAGCATTCCGATTGTGTCCGGAACGCGTGCACCTTTGAACCATGAGTCGCTGGAACGTTTCAGCAGGGGTTTGAGATTCGCTCATTCGGGCTGTGGACTTGACCCTTGTCTTTCGAGTAATGTTAGTCCGTGCTATCTCTCTGCACAGCAATGCAGGAGGTCCTGAGTTACTTCGGCAGTATCTTGCGTTACAACTCTGTCCGTGCAGGTTCTGGTGAAATCAAAAAAAAAAATTGGCTTGGAGATCAAGACGCGTAGGACGTAGGATGCCGAGAGCCTTCCACGGGGCGTCATGGAGGTGCGATACCTTGGTCAAAGTTCCAGCAATCAATGTGGGTAGCATCGGCAGATTTGCAGAAGACTCGATGTCATTCGGACGCGATGGAGACACGCGATAACACTGACCGCACCAATGCTTCAGCACATGAGGCCCGGATCTCCCTTGGACAGCGACACGCCGTCGTGGAGCACAGCACAGCGCGCAGTCCCGCGGATGAACAGCCCCCTCGTCGGGGCACTCACGGCATCCAAGATGACGCGGTCATGGAATAGGACTGCAAGGCTGTCAACAGTGGAAGGTAACGAAGAGCGAATGGATAGGGAGGGAAAGGAGGACGCCGAGGTGGGAACCGGGGTCTGCGCGCGAAGGAGGGCGCGCAGGCCAAGATAAGTGGTTCGCGAAAGAAACATACGGAAGAAGGAGGGAAATTGCAGTCGTCGGCATCGCGCCTCGTCCCTTCAACGCCCCGCACTCAGTCCACCCACCAGCGGCGTCGTGAGTGTAAAGCAGGCGGTTCTTGACGATTTGTTCGGATGCATCGGCAGGATGCGGGCGCTCCTAGATCCAGTCGGGGCTGATGCGCACGAACGAACGAAACCCGTGGCGCGGGCGGCGGGGTTGCCACGGCGAGGGCGGTGGAGAATGGGGGAGCTGCGTAACGCACGACGTTGATGAGGAGAGCGCTGCTGCTATGCGCATGATTGATACGGAGAACGGAGAAGAGCGCACTACCAGTCTAAGACCTAGGAACATGCAAAACACGGGGAGGACAAGGATGGCGGGGACCGGGGAAGACCGGATTCGGCCTCGTCTGCGCTGATCGCGTGTAGCTTGAGAAGCGCCTGGGGGTTGGAGGAGCTGGCAGCGTAGCTGGATGATCCAGCGGGCAGGAAGGGAAGGTGACCGTTACGCGATGATGGCG